CTTTAAGATGAGTGGATTTCAACTCCCAGAATTCCCCAGCCAGCCATGCTGGCTGGGGAATTCTGGGAGTTGAAGTCCACTCATCTTAAAATGGCCAAGTTTGGACAACACTGCTTTAAAGGATTGTTTAGTCTATCATGGATTACCTATCTTTTTATTACATGGGACTCAAAATTGGCAAGAAATTGAGTCACATTTTATCAGCAGCGTGCCACCAAATTTCAGTGGTATGATTTCAGAGGGTTCTGTGGCTATTAATTGCCACACCCCTTTTAAATGGTTGTTCAACCAATGTGTTACATTATCTGAATGTTTAATCAAATGGTTTGCTTCTCCTGTTCACTCTGGATTAAGAAATATGTTTTTCCTTCAAAATAATATTTCCCTTCATCATGTATTTAATAAAGCTTATTAAGTCTTTAAATAATATTCTGGGGATGATTGTAATATAAATACAAATTCTGGTTTCCTTTGTAATATGGTTTTCCCTTCCCCACTAGCTGGATGTCTTGGAATATATTCATGAAAATGAATACGTGCATGGGGATATTAAAGCAGCAAATTTACTTTTGGGCTACAAAAATCCACATGAGGTAAATAAATATATCGCATCCCGTTTCCATACACTTTATTTTTCATTGATAAATGTTCTTGGATTCTGCAAAAAATCAGGACAGTGTAGACTTAGTTGTTGCTGAAGCTGCATGCATTGTTTTTAAGGAGAAGAAGGCATGAGAGTTTGTATTCTTACTCAGATGAAATTCAAGTCTGATTTTCAAACTGTTATTCTCTGTAGTTACCTTAGTGAAGTGATTTGCTACAGAAACTTTGAAAAACATCTGAACCTCCCATGCCTTTAAGAGCTGGGTGCCTTGTTTATATATGTGGAAGAAGTTGCTCTATGTGCTCATTTTTTCATATAGATGCATTGAAATCAACATGGAAAGATGCATGTACCACTAGTGAGCTTATAGAAAGATGCATATTCTACCAGTTTAAAATGTATTTCTGTTCTCTTTATCCCTTTCATAGTTTGATAAATTGAGAGGATGGTGCCAGTGGCCAAATCTAGTTTTAAATGCATCTGTGGTTGCTGGGCACTTTGCTTGTGGCAGACTTATGGAATAAACTTGATTTGCCAAAGAAAATCATAGTGCAATCTGATATGTTTGGGAAATTCCTGCCTTAAAATTAACATTTTTGTTTTGACAAAAAATGTTTGGTTGGGAATCCACAGATTCAAGGCTGTCTTCTTATTGTATAGTATTCCAGTGTGGTTAGATACATGGAACTGTTGCATCATATATTGTAACATACATTTTACTATTTTGAATGATTCCTCATAACTTGCTACTTTAAGCACCTTCTTTCTCTGGAAATTGTTGGAGGTTCTTCCAAGTCCAAGCTCGTCTGCTGTGCTTTGCAGACTATTGTATAACTTGCCTTCTGGAAGATGAGGGCCTTCAGAGTCTTCCTAGCCTTGTAGTTCCTCCTCTTCCGGAGAAGGCATGGCACTGTATGGGCCTTTTCTGGCACTGGCTCATGTGAAAATACAATGAAGTACAAAGTAAAGTGATACAGTAGACAGAAGATGGGAGAATGAAGGGGAAGCCCGGGTTTAAGTCTTCACTTGACTATGAAACTCAATGAGTGACATCAGTTAGCCAATCTACTGGTTGGGATGGTTGTCAGGACAAAAAGAGAGAGTGGGATAATTAACCAATCAAGGAAAGCCAAGATATAAGTGTAGTGAATAGATACCAGGCACAATACTGAAGAATTTGGCTGCTCTCAAACTTCATTAATTTCTGTAGCCTTTACAGAACAATCCTGACTGATTCAGATTCAGCCATGTTATTCCCAGTTCTGATTGCAGCATAATATTTAATAAATTATATCTATTTTCAAAATGATTGCCTCAACAAAATCTGTTAAACTACTGCTGCTTCTGAGGTACTGGCACTGTTTTTTGTATTAAGCCCATTGGACACGATCCATTTGTACCTTTAAGTGGGAGGAGAGAACCCTGTGGGCATTAACGTGCACATGTTAAATATATATAGCAGCAGCTTTTATTTTGCTTTAAGATAAACACTTTACAGAAAATTGTGACAGAACAAACACAGAGTTAAATTTTGAAGTATACAATTAGGCACTTAAGTATGTTTTGCAGTGTAAAAATAAGTAAAGCTTTATATGGTATACCTATGAGGACTTGTGTGCTGAGTGATCCCTGCAACTTCAACAGAGAATGATTTTGTCTCTGCATGGGACAGCTGGATCAGGCTCCCTGCTTACAAATGCTCCAGAAGTCAATGAGAACTCCTTACCCCCAGGGATAAATGCTTTGGGAAGATCAAGTTTTACATCTTGTGCTGCAGTTGATTGCCGTTTTACTGCTAATAACGCCGTCATTGAGTTCTGCGGCCTAATTAAGTTGGCCTCCTAATACACTGGTGATCCAAATTTATTACTGTGCTAACAAAGCAATATATCTCATCAGGTTTATATGGCAGCTCCATTGACTAAAAAAATGGAAGGTGAAATACTTCCCATGTCTTGTAATCTTTTTCTCCAACCTGTTTTTCTACTACCCTGTGGATACTTTGACTTTAAAATATTGTGAGTAGAAAACTTGAGCATGGATAATTGAGGCATGTATGTGAATATTTAAAAACATATCTTTGGTTTCCTGGAAGCCATTGCAAAGCCTTATGTTGTTTGAAATACTGTTGTATAAACAGGTAAGCAAAAAAGCAGGAGTTTTAAGTCTTTTGTGCTTAAATGTTTCCAGTAGTGCATTTTCCCTTCAAAGGGTCTGGGGACAGTTTTTTGCATTTGTATTTCAAGCCAAGAAATTACAAACTTTGGGGTCATTAATACTAAGTGTTTACTGTAATAATGCAAAAATTGGTTATAATTCTCTTACTATTTAGTGCTATGTGATAAAACAACAATCTTAAGTTGTTTTATAATAAATAATTTTCATCTGATAAGGTTGGTGCTTGTGGATTCTAAATATTTAATTTGTGTAACCTTCTCACTCATGAGTCCGCTGCTCTTTCTCTTTTCTGTTGAAAAGAGGGAGGGAAGGGAGGGAGTTCCAGTGTTTTTTTTTGGCTGTTGAGCTCAAGCTCAATTCTTGTGCACTCCACAGAATACAGCAATGTGATATGAGAAACTTTCCTCCCCTCCGTGAAAGAAAGAATAATGCAGAGGACTATTCATGAATGAGAATGTTTTGAAGATTTCCAGCAGTGCTATCCTATAGGTCTGCCTTATAGAGGGAGATCAGCATTGGGCAAGCTGTTTTCAAGGAAGCTTGTTTTTCAGTACTAATTTTCTTAAGGAACTCTTTAATATCTGAATGCATGTCATTTGAAAGCTACTAATCAATTACAGTTTCTGTTAAGCTTGAGTATTCTATAGCTGTGTTCTGTTGGGGTAAGCCATAGTTGATGGATAGAGCACATGTTTTGTATGCCAAGAATTCCAGGTTCAATCCTTCTCTTATCAAGGTAGGGCTGAAAACCTAGATTGAAAACCCAAAGAGCTGCTTTTTTTTAAGGTGGCTTGCTTCATATATTATGTAAAGCCTTAAAACAATCAGTTTGTTGAATAAGTCGCAATTGGCTGGGCTCACATAATATGCTATACCTCTGTTATGATGTATAGACAACACTGACTGGATTTACACAACACACTAAGCCAAATCTAAACAAGCCACATTATGGCTTAGAAAAATCATGAACTTAGTATCAAGAATAATGAATCTGTGGGACCCTTGCTCTGATCTGGTATATTTCTGTGTCCCTTTACTTAAGTATCCATTACAGTTGATCTTCCAGACTTCCCTTGAAAATCAAAATGTGTCATTCTGCAACCTCTTGGACTGCTGATTTCCTTATTTAAACTGCTGTAACAGTGAGGTTGATCATCTTCCCTCTAGCCTTAATGCACTGACTTCCTGTCCTATGCTTGGTAGATTAGGTTAAATAATTACTCCCTTGTATATGAGATAATTATATGGAATCCTTTTGTTCCATGGTTTAAATTGCTTGAACATTTAAGTAAATTGTAGGTGGAGTTTGTATGGATTTGCATTGTAATATATAGCAAAATCCTTTACATCCATGTCACCATTACACTGGGATAAAGCTGCCTCTTAAATTGATAGGCTTAGTGGTATAGTTGCTTCAGTCAATTCCACTAAGTTGTGTTTTCCATCACATTGACTTGATGCATTATTGTCTTCCGGCTTGGCTAGGTTGAATACCAAGCAAAGTGAATCCACCAGAGAATGCAAGAGCAAATAGAGGCAGTCAGTCTGATAAAGCTTTTTGCCTTGTCCCAGAATTCCAGATGCTGCCTCCAGTCTTCAATCTTTGTATCATACTCAGTACAGGTCTGTTAGATGAGAAATGTACTGGTATAATCTTAAAAGAACTATCTCATGAAATAAGAGCACCGTGTTCCTGGTGCCACGTTCTCAGTATGCATAGAAGATACTGCAACAAGGAATGGTATTTTAAAACACACGACTTCAACCATCCCAAGACTGCAGAACTTGCCTGAAGCCCAAAGAGGAGCTAATCATTTTAACAGAATCAGTTACAAGATAACTTGCTTGCTTCCCTTTGGCTTTGGGGAAAAAAAAATAAGAGCATCAAGAGCAACATAATTAAATTAAGTGTACGGTCATTCCTTGTGCTATTCATATTTTTCAGGACAGGAACTTGCTTCCAAGGAGGACACAAAAATAGGGTTACAAAAAGTGATACAAAAAGTAGTTTCTTCAACATAGTGAATAGTAAATTAGAACTGTTTCCCACTTTCTTATTCCCTCACCCCTTTATGCTATTTGTTTTGAAAATGGTTACTTCCAAAGTGTATGGGTATATAAACCACCAGGACACCTTTCTCATCTTCTAAATAGTTTCTCAGTAGAAGAGAATATACGTAGCTCAGGGTTGGAATCCTTGGGGTTCTCTGAGCTTGGTTGTTTTCTTGCAGAAATTTTGTTACCCGACTAGGTAGCATCTTCAGTGCTAGAAGGGAGTGGGGTTTGCTCTCTGTTTATATACAGTACTTTGTCCTGTCAGTGTTGGTGGGGGTATTGTTTTTCCTTTTTGCAGAATTCCAAAGTCTTAATAAAATCATTGTTCAATTTTCAATTGTTAAAATATTTCCTTGATCAAGTGGATCTCTATCTGTATTCTTGATTGGCACCATTTTTGTCCTTTAGTAAGAGCTATATAATGGTGGAGGATATTATTTATTTATTAAATTTATACACTGCCAGCTTCATTCTTCTACTATCTGTTATACTGTGAAAGACTTGGTTGTATGAAGGTAGAGCAAAGATGTAAACTTAGAGGGATATGTGCAAACCACAAAAGCTTTGAGTGCAATGATCAGAGGTTCCCAGAAATAATATCTAATAGTAACTTTTAATATGACAGAAATATAAAATTATTATATACAAGAATATATTTAAAAAGACATGCATACGTAACCATCGTGTTCTTTTTTAAGCAAGCAGTGCTATTCAAAGTACAGAAAAAGAGTAAACAAAACAAATCAGAAGTAAGAT